TTTGTAGCCCAGGCTGGCCTCGAACTCACAGAGATCCACCTGGCTCTGCCTCCCGAGTGCTGGGATTAAAGGCGTGCGCCACCACCGCCCGGCTCATCCATTGCAGCTTTCTAAGCTGGGCAAAACAATGTCTACCTACTCACTTCTGGGCACTTCCAACACTATCAGCTATGTCCCTCTCCCCCCACTCATCACCTCTCCCCAGAGACCCTCTTCCCTTCCCCCACCTGGGAGAGGGCTGGGAGCAGCAGAGAGCAGCATCGGCAAGGACAAAGTCCTACCCTCTACCCAGTAGCTGACTCAGTCAATGAAGAGAGAAGCCTAGGAAGAGGCACTCCGATGAAGAAGACCCCGACATCCTTCCACCCCCACGTCCCCCCCACGCCCACCTCACAAACATGAGCAGGCAGGGAGCTGTTACATGGCCAACAGCACCCCTTCAAGCAGACCCTTTGGGGAGATGTGTATTACCCTAATGATCGAGAAGGCTCCACTCACCTTCCATAGGATGTTCCTCTATAGTCAGCCAAGTTCAGAGAAGGGGAGCGGGGAGAGAAGAGAAAGGAGACCTGTTAGCAAATATGCCATGGACAGTTGCTTTAAGGACCGAGGAGTTCCAGGTCCTCCAACCCACCAAGGCCCTGACATGAATAACCCAACCTAAAAACTCAGGGAACAGCTTTGCTGGGGACTGGACAGTGGCCACGCTGTCCCCTGAATGAGTCTCCCCAGAGTCAGCCAGTCTGGGAGGACTGAGAGGGACTTCTGCAATTTGCACTAGATCCTGTTATGCCAGGAAACTGAGACCCAGAGCAGGGGCATGACGGCCCGAGATCACACAGAGACAGGAAGCAGGGCGGCAAGCAAAGCAGTGAGCAGCCAGGCTCCCGACTCCTGAGATAGGCTCCTCCCCCCTTACATTCACTAGGCTGCTGCAGCTCGGAGACAGATGGGGATATGCTCACACCAGAGACTGTCTCACTGGGCTCGCCCAGACACACTCACGCTCAGTGACACACTGACACACATAAGCACCGAGCGACCCACTCTCGCATTTAGCTCTCACACAACTCATGCCTGAAACATTCACTCTCCAGCATCCGACCACCCACAGCCCCCTACCCTGCCAGGAAGGAAAAGGCGGCCACACCGGGTCAGAGCAAGGCACAGGCCAGGCCCTGGGTCTGATCCAGGAACTGCCAATCTGCGTCACTCGACCTCTCTGCACCCCAACTACAAAGGCGAGAGGGTGGACTGCACCCTCTCCTAAGCCCCTGTGACCCCAGCTCCACCTCTGCGATCAGGAGAAATGTCTTTACTCTTCGTTTGATTTTTGCATTTGTTTTCATCGCTGAGTGTTTCACAGTCTTATTCTGTAGTCCAAACTGGCCTGGAATGTACTGTGTAATACAACTTGCCTCAAGCTCAGGACTGTCTTCCCGCCTCCTTCGTGCTGGGATTATAAGCATGCACTACCATGTTCATTTTTAAGCACCACCAGGGATCAGATTCAAAGCTTTATGCATGCTAAACAAGCATTCTACCAATTGAGTTACATCCTCAACTCCAGAACGCGTTTGCTTATCTGTTTGTTTGCTTGTTTATTTCAAAATATTGGATAGGCCAGGTTGGCCTCAAAGTCATTACATAGCCAAGGCTGGCCCTAATGTCTTAACCCTCCTGCTTCTGCCTCTCAAATGAGCCCAGATGCCCTCTACGGGGTCGGGGGAAGCAAAGGGCCTCTAAATGGATGGTCACCTTAAGTTCAGTCAAAGTCAGAGGGCCACACTGGGAACCCCCAGATCACGCCACACCCCATGGGCCATCAGCCTCACCTGTTGAGACCTGACCTGGACTTGACCTTGGGGCACACCTGATGGAGCCACAGCTCCTCAAGCAGGCTTCGCAAGGGGACCAGGGAGCCCCAAGCTTTAGACAGCTGTCACATAGTCACGCGCTGGAAGGCTGTTAGAGGAAGCCAAAGGCAGAAGAGAGAAACTGCCCAATCTACAGACACACAAACCCTCAAGGAAAGACACACACACAGATCCTGAGATAGACATCGATTCACACGCATGTGTATATGCTGTCTCCTCCCTCCTATGAGCACATTCTGTGGGATCTGTTC